TCATCTTCCTCTCTCAACAGGTTGTGGCAGACCCTGGCTCTTGCCACTGGTTGTACAGCACTGGACTTTGGCAAGTGGTCTAGGCATTACCTAATGTGTAACACAAATGTTACACAATACGAATACCAAACCAATTGAGACTTCCTAATCACCTCTCTGTAGAGGTCTGATTTGACTCCAAAACTCCTTTAAAATTCATTAAAAGGTTCTGCGCAAGCAACGATTTCCTTTGCTCCTGCTCCCAAATCAAATGGAATAATCTTCTGGGAAATAAGGAACTGCAGGTGGAAAAAATGGCATTCAGATAAGATTTTCCCTTAAACTTTCTCTGTAGCATCCTTCTGATGGCATGATTCTTGCATTATATTTAATCCTTCATATGAACATAGAAACTTAGATTTTAAAAGGCTGAGACCATTAGCAGAGAGCAGACACTTCATTTCCAGGTGAACATCACAAGATTGTGCCGTAGGAAGAGCAGCAGACATCCTTCTACCCTGAACGTTTGTACTACATCTATGAAACTGTTATAACAGTTTGGGAGAAAATTGCTGTTCAGCATAAGCAAATGTAGCAGGCCCACTGTTCTTACTCTGTCAGGTAATGTTGTCTGAGCTCTAAAATGTATTCCCCAGAGATCAAGACACAGTTTTATTCAGCAATGCAAAAAACCCTAAGGAAAGCTGGATTCCCATTCTAAAATATTGGGAAATCAAAGCAAATATCTGCAATAATCAGAAGGCAAAAGATAAACCAGATGAAGTTGGTTGGTTTTTTTTTTTTTTTCATAACCACAGCTAGTTCCTCTTTTTCAGCTTTAATTGCATTCAGATGCTTACTTATCATTCTTCACAGAGCACTCACCTTCCTGAGTAAACAGGAAAAGAGGTGGATAGTGCCGTATTTGGGTTCCTCTCAGCCCCAGAAGTAATGATCTAATTACTTGATCAAATAGTCCCTAGGGCATGGACTAGACAAGCCGCTTGTTTTCATGTGAGGCTAATTGCATTCTATACTCAGCCTCCTGGCATCTCAGCTATGAGGCGATTTCCAAAGCCAGAGTGATAGCCCAGCAGCCTAGAGACCAGCCCCACCTGGAAGCTGCCCTCGGTGCTGGATCACACCCTCGCATCTTCCCCAGGTAGTTGTGGTAGGGAATGATGAGAGGGGAAAGTTGGGTGTAATAAAGCCCCAGACTTCAACATTTAATTGCAACAAAGTGCAGGAGAGTGGGCTGGGAAGGCCTTGCCATGCTGAGAATATGGGGATAATCTTTGATTTCTATGAAAATGCTTTGCTCACAGAAATGTGGGTAGTGCACTCTATGGGATGCTGCACATAACAAGATGAAATCCCTGATGCCAACAAGTGCTGGATGCCACACAGGAAGAAAGCTTACTTAGGAAGCTTTTAGGTAAACCAAGGGATGCAACGAAATCCAGAGGTGTCATATTTTTAAAGCAAAGTGTTCAGCAGTTTATGAAATAGCTTTTTTTTTCTAGCAGAAATCTAGTGAACAGCCCAAAATGGTGCATATCCAAACAATTGCACAGGGAAAAATTTCAGTTTGAAGTGTTTCCATCAAAAATCATGACATCTGTATGTCCTGAAATTTTGTATTTATGTTAACAATCATGTCTCCGTGACCATGTGGTGTTTCATGCCTGCAGGCAAATTTTTTATAGCTGCAGGGAAATGGCTCCAATCTTGATGTGCCTCCATCTTTGGTAGCTCTTGGTGGTGAAATATGAAGTCTGTGTTGGATTATTAGGAGCCAAAAGTGTTGACCATGTTCTTTACTGATTTTTTCAGAAATGTACTCCTGAGCACCAGAATACAGTACTCAGGGGGCTCCTCTTCTGCAGCACCAGGCAAACGTAGGGGTTGGGGAGTCTGTCTCCTCCGGGCTCCAGAAAGCTCTTCTGGTTCAGGTTTGCGCTCTGTCGTGCTCTTTTCGTACAAGTGCTACCCATCACACCAGCCTCTGGTTCTGCAAGAGACCTTAACATGTGCTATTTAATTAAATAGATCCCAGAAGTGTCAGATTTGGAGAAAAATCACTTCTTTCGGCTCTTTTGCCAAAGGACGATGGCCACGAAAGGATGTTGCTGTGGGGTCCTGACTCACTGATGTTAATGTGACTAGTCAAATGACCAAATTGCTCATAAATATAATAGAGATCCACAAATAAGTGTCAATTAAGAATAATAATCCAGCCCTCTAATGTTCCCACATATTACAAATGCAAATCAATTTATATCTCCTAAAATATCTATTTCTCTTAGAAGTTACAATTTCTTGCTAATCAAATATAACAATAGGGTATACAATAACCCACTACAGAAAGAGAGGTGTAGGACCGGTCCTCAGCATTGGTTTTAGATGTGAGCCGGGAGCCCTTGGAAAGCGTAAAGAACTGTACAAACCAGACTATGAGAAGCTCCTCAGCAAGATAAATGTTGACGGCTGCTGCTGTGAGGGGACCTAAAAGTACTGGAGGGCAATTGCTTTCTCAGCATCACCCATCAGCGTTAGCTCTCGGAGGAGAGGATGGGGAGAGATTTAGCTGTCAAAATATTAGACACCTAAACCTAGGCTAGTTGCTCTCTGTTCATTTTACAGTTTGCAGGGTCTATTTGATGCAGTCGTGGGTGTTTCTCCTCACCCTGAAGCAGATGTCTAATACAACCAAACAACACTGTACAAGTCCTTTCATCTATAAAAGCCACCAGTGCAGCACTATGAGTCTCGGAGGGAGAAACCACACATGATGCACCGAGTCTGTCCAGCAAAGGAAGAGAAGTGGAAAGACTGAATGAACCATGAGATGGCTGGGAGGATGTCAAGAGCAGTGCAAATCCATTAGCTCACATGGGCCTAGGACAGGAATTCCCGTTTCCCCCATGTAAACACTAGAAAACAACCAGTGCCAATGCCTGCAATTGTCCAGCGGGACTCCTGGTTTCCAGTGTAAACAGGATGCAGTGCTCATGCTGAATGGGCCGTGTTTCCCCCCTCCCCGCTTCAGCATTTGTGTAAGTGATCTCACTGGGGAATTTGGTCACTTAGATGTAGTCTGATGATCACATTCCACCTCCATGATTGGAATATCTCAGAGAAATAAAGATTTTCTGTGCTGCAGAGCTGAGCGAGGTATGATCAGCAAAAGGCTTCAATGTGCTAATATGGAGTCCTGGGCCAAAATCCCACTTAAGCTGAAGCTCTTTACACTGCTCAGGCAGTGAAAAATGCCTTTAAAATGAGTGCCCCTTTACTTTGCCCTGAATGGCTTGAAAAGGTCCTCAAGGTAACTGGAGTTGTGTCCCCATTGGCATTGCCAAGCATGAATGTTGTTGATAGAGGGTGGAGAGGAATGGCTTGGGTGTTTTTAATGGTTAAACAGGTATTAGAGAAACAGATAACCTCAACAGGTTGTGGAAGTGCTGATGGCCCACTGTAGGATTAGCTGTTTCTTACCATGAGAATTGGGACATGATGTTTCTCATAGTAAAACAGATCAATTGTCCGTCTTCCCTAATAATAGCTATCCATTCTTACTGCATTGAAAAAAACCTAAGGTATCATTCAGACATTTATGAAAATAAGGAGATGAACATATCCAAATGCATTAAATCTTTTTTGAAAAGCAATTAATCCAGTACCTGATTTTTTTAATTACTGTGTCATTCCCGTTGGGAACCACATGACTTGGGTATTAGGTGGAAGCAGAATTTGCTCAGGATCACATGTATTTTTCTGGAAAAAATTAGGATGTAAACAAATATGTAAAGCATGTATGGGTGGAGCCTGTTCAGGTAGTTAGTGGTCAGGTGTCCATACCCCTGGGCTCCCTTGTTTCCGGAGATGACGCCATGCAAGCCATATAAAAAGGTTTGCACTTTGATGCTCACACCAGTTCATTTGACTTCTCCCTCACTCAGCTGCATTGGTGAACTGGTAAGTCTTTCTTGGATTTATCAGGGAATAATGCAATGGCTGTGTTACTTGGTTGTTCTGGTCAAGAGACTATATTACTGATCACAGGACACCTTTGCTTCTGGTGTTTCTGTTCCAGGATTTGTCCTGGAATGGGGGAGAGGATGTTGGACTCTTATTTAGTTTGCTCTTTCTTACATAGCTTGCAAATGTCCTGTCACCTCTTCAGAAACGGTGACTGTCTGTCATCTTCATTATGTAGTCTATCTTCATTAATTTTTTCATACCTCATTAAGTCTGGAAATTAAATAAATTGGTGGATGCTGCAGAGTAAGTCTTGGGACTTCAAAAGAGATGGGTGGGAAGAAGCATTATCTGGAAGAAGGAAGCTGCAGAATACCTGAGGGCAAAGATGCAGAAGACATCTGGGAGAATTCAAGATGAGGAAATGAATTGGAAATAGGAGCTGAAGCCTCTGGGCCAACCCTTCTCTTATGGAAGGATGAGCCCATTAATTTTGATACAACTCCAATGACGTAATGTGATATACAGCTGAAGAATTTGGGATAGCGTCTGAATTTGTGGTCTTTGGGCTTTATCCTTGGACATTAGCAGCTCAACATCTACACAAAGGGGGATGTGCTCTGTGGTGCACGTGAGGAACTGAAGAAGCGATAAACAAAACATGGGCCCTGGAATGTCTGCTGATTTAATTAAGAAAATAAGGAAATGAAGTATTTTCATGTTATGGCTTCTACAAAGTTTAACTGTAGGCAATTCTATAAAATTCAGGGTTTATGGCTCTAGTCTTTCTAACAGTGATGCTTGCACGTTCCCAAGAAAGGAAGGAATAATCTGGCAGTGTTAGTTGCATATTTCTGAATCCAGAAATCATTCATACATGCAATTTTTTCTAACAGTCCTTTTCTCAGTCCAACAGCTAACTGCTACACATGTTTCAAGAGCTCAGGTTGTGATTTGTGGCTCGAGAAGAAAGCGCGAGTGCCCTGATTTTGTATCTCTCTTTTTCTCTTTGTCTTTAGCTTTACCAGCACCTCGGAAGGATGTCTTGCTACGAGCAGTGCAAACAGCCCTGCCTGCCTCCTCCCATTTGCGTGCAGAAATGCACCAAGTGCGTGGAGCCCTGCAAGACGGTGTGTGTGGAACCCTGCGGCAGCGTCTGTGTGAAGCCGTGCTCCACACCATGCGTGGAGGTCTGCCCAACACCCTGTGCCACCCAGTGCACCACATCCTGCACCACCCAGTGCGTGGAGCCTTGTGCCACCCAGTGCACCACGTCCTGCAGCACCCAGTGCGTGGAGCCCTGCAGCACCCAGTGCGTGGAGGTCTGCCCCCCTAAGTGCATCGACGTCTGCATAAAGCCATGTGCCACTCAGTGCCCAACCCAGTGCACCACCCAGTGCGCGGAGCCCTGCGTCACTCAGTGCTGCACCAAGTGCGTGGAGCCCTGCCCACCCCCATGCGTGGAGGTGTGTGCCACCAAGTGCGTTGATTCGTGCGAGACGGTGTGCCTGGAGCCATGCAGCACGGTCTGCTCCCACCCATGCTGATTGCCTTAGCACATGAGCCTTGCATGCAGCCCTGATGCTTTGGTGCATTGCAATATCCATCGGCTCATGAGCGTCCACGGAATGAAAAACAGGTTACAGACCCACCTGCGACGTACCAAGACCTCTCCTGACCTGGTTACCCCATGCTCTCTTTGTCTTGGAAAATATTTTTCTGAATGTTTCCAACCTGTATCTTTGCTTCCTATGATACTTCTGCTACTGTTATCTCAGCACCTTTTTCTTGGTAACTGCCGTTGGCCAATATTATACTGCTAGGCATCTTGGGAAGTTATTTAGCAATGGCTGGGATGTAGGCAGTTAATGTTGGAAGATGTCTCCCTTTCTATTCTTTAATTCTCATTTTGTCTTTTAATGTATGTCCTCTTGTCTTTTAATGTCTATGTGCAGCAATAAAAACTGACCATCAATGGCATAATGTGTCTTTTGTTTTTCTTTCATCTCTGCGTTTCCACATCTTCAGACCCAAGAACATCTTCCTTTAGTTTTCCTTCTGAAAGCTGTTATGGTTGTGGAGGATTTGTAGCTGCAATGCAGTGCTGTAAACAGAGAGAGCATGCATTATAACATGGAGCAATGTCTTCTAATACCATAAAAAAACCATCATCCACTCAATACTTTTCTGACTGATATAAAAAAAATTAACTTTGTCCTACTTGAAAATAATGATAGAAATTTAATTTTTGTCTTTATTAATGATAGAATTTTGATCTTTATGTCTCTGGATTTTGGAGGCAAGTCTTAGAAACTGTTAAAAGGCTAATTAAAGTGGAAGAAAGCCCCAAATCCAAGAAAGAAGGAATTAAAATGTTCTTGCTGGGATTTTAATTATTTCTTAAAAACATTCTGATGGAGATGAAAATGCTATTTTTGATGAATTCTTCCCATGATTCTCACTGGCTAAATATAGCAAGTAGGGGATTTGGCTTCAGGAGATGAATCTTTTTGTGGTTCAGGAACAGGTCCGAGCCCTGCAAGATTGCAATTTTGTTCCCAGGTTTGCTGCAGATATTTTGTGTGGTTTTGGGCAGGTCTCACTTTTGTTACCTATCTGTTCCCCATCTGCAATGAGAAGTCACATCCCTGACTGATAGAGCCGTTGGCATTTCAGGTTCATTAACATCTGGCAGGTACAATAGCATTTTAACTCCCTTGTAAATGCATCTTCTTTATTTGGAATCATAATTTTGAAACTGAAGCAGGCCCATTGTCTGGGGGGATGTTATACTCATTTAAATGCTGCGTTTCAGAGATAATGCTCCCATTGTCTTCCATACTGTGCATGTGACTTGCTTACCTCTGTCTCCATCATGGCCACACAATTTCCATGTCTGGGATGTAGAGAATTGCTATCCACCCACCATATCATTACAGCAAGGGTGGAGAACATCTAATCTAGAAAAGAAAAGAGTTATATTTAGGTGTGTGTAAACACTATTACCAAATCAGCTTTTAATGAAACCTTGTGTGCAGGTGTAGAGAGTTTGACAGTAGATTCCTTTTTGTGTTTTTTCTGTCAACACCAAAAGGTGACACCATCAAACAGGAATAATGATAGGCAAAACATGTCTCAGTAAGACAAACAAATTCTACACCTGAACACACCTTTCAGTTCAGGTAGACAAAGCAGGGGTAGGTGGACCTGATATTCAACAGCACGGAAGTGGAGAGGGAGACTAGGAACGTGCATCTCTAATTCCGGCTGTTGAATGCAAACCCTTGGGGATTCAGCAATGAACTCTGCCTCGCTAATAACTGCTTGCCGCTGCCACATTTGTAGCATCCGTGCCTGCTTTCAGGCATGGAAAAAATCTTAGTCAGGAAGTCATATGCAGCTACTAATGAGATCCATCCCATAGGTTAGTCACCTATGACTGATTTCCAAGCATCTTCATCCAGCTCTATCAGCTGCGTTAGTAATTTAAAATTTTTTCTTCTCTCCCTTTCTGCTGTGAGCATTGCACCAGGCACAGTAATCACAGATGGGAGCACGCAGCTCTGAAAACCCGAGAGGAAGTGGCAGAAGAGACCTGTTGGTTTGTGCTCACCATGCTTCCTGTGCCTGTAGGAAAATGTGTTGCAAAAGCCCTGACACACTGCTCTCCTATGCACCCGTGGTTAGTTCTGAGCATCGCTAAGATTTTCCTGTATATTTACAACAAATTGGTGACCTTTGGTCCATGTCAGCCTCGGGGTCATTAAGACCCCCGGTAAATCAGGCATGAGGGAGGGATGTTAAGATGTAGGATGATATTTTTTCCATTGGCACCTTCTGCTCTCCTACACCCAGTGGAAGCCATGTCCATCATCTCTCCAGGTATCACACATCTGTAATGGAGACTGGACTGTAATTCATAGGGCTGAACATGACCCCACAGGGCATAGCATTGAGGAATGCTCAAGGGAGGCTTGAACTACCTTTTCCACTAGAGTTAAAGACAATATTTCACTTGAAACATTCTCTCTGTTCCTTCCTTGGAAACATTTCAAGGGGATTGACATTTTTCTGAAACATGTATCCATCCCCAGAAAAAAGAAATTCTGCCACAACTTCAGCAAGCCAACCCAATTTTTAAAAAAAAAAAAAAAAAAAAAAAAGTTTTAGTTGCTTCAGCAAAAAGCTACGTGAAAGTGCAAAAAAAAAAAAAAGGGAAAAGCTTTCTAATTTCTTGGCAATATAAAATGTTTCATCCCCCTTTTGGGGATGGAAAATAGAGAAGGATAGAAACAAAACCCCAAAACACAAACTGCCAAACACAGAGCTGCTGCCCTTCCCAGAAGCTGGGAGGCAGCACACAGAGCTCCTCCACCCCACTCAGATTTATGCCAGCTGGAGATCTGTCCTGGTGATCACAGACAAAACTATCAGGAAACACCTAGACTTTATGCAAACATGTTCTGCTAACTCTGGAGCGGATCTGAGCCATGTCTCAAATCTGAGTTCAGTTGTGGGATCTTTGCCCAGGGTCGGGACAAGATGAATTATTAATAAATTAGCCAGTTATTAGCAGATTGGGTGTGCCTTGCATTAAAAACAACAAATCCCCCACACCTGGAAGAGGAAGCATCTCTCACAGACCTTGACTGAAGTCCAGGTGTCAGTGGAGCAAGTTCTGGTTGTGAAAGATTCTGGTCATCAAGTTAATCTGTTGTCATCAGCTCCTGGGGCTGACTTCGGAAAGCGTATAAAAGCCTGCCATTTGGGAGGCTCCATTAATCTGAGTGGCTTCTTCTTCCATTCCTTCAACAGCAGAGGACACCAGGTGAGTCCTTCTGTGTGCATTGAACTGTATATGTGGGGGTTTCTGGTGCTCTGTTCTTGGGAGACAGGGTGTTTTTTTTTTTTTTTTTATTTTGTTTCTCTAGTAACAGTTTTGGCTCGTCTCCCTGGCAATTTCATCTCTGTACTGGTGAAAGCCATATTATGTTGAGACTTTCTGAGGCTGCAGACAGTGGCTTGCTGAGTCTTTGGAACAGCAAACCCTTGTCAACCCTCATAATTTTTTCCCAACTGATAAGAATCCTTGTGGGTAACCACTGAGTATTGAGTATCAGCTACCAAAGGATGGCATCTGCTGGCAGGTCGTTTTGCATCTGTCAAGCAGCCATGGGCTGGTAGCTGCAGTCCCCTGGATATCCAGGGCTCTGAGTTTCACTCTTTTTGTATAAAATCATATCCTCACTGAGCAGGAAGACAGTTCATTTGCATTTAATGGCTAGAGACATGGCTCCTGCTCTGAGGGTCTCAATGAACTAAGCAGAGACATGGCTGTTGCCAGAAAGGATTGATATCAAATGATTTGTCTCTTTCAAAACCATTTGCAATACTGAAATGTCACCAGCTTTCTGCTTCTCTCTGACTAGTTTTAAATACTGCTCTGAGGTTTTTGTTGAACTAAGTATGCTTTCATTAAAATCTGTGTTGCTTCTTAGCTTGTCAAAGTTGAAGTGTTCAGAAAATAGCGAGCAGAGGGAAAGAAGGAAAACTCCTCTCATTGTTTCTCTTCCTTCCACCTCTGTAGCCATTTACCTTCTTGGATCCCAACTTTGTTAGGCTGGTGCTTGCCTCTTGTATTCATTTATGCTTATATACAGTCATGCCCTGAGGCCTCAGCAGAACGGCTGATCTCCATAGCAGCTAACTGTAGTGGGAGCCTGGAAAAGCAATATGGGGCACTTACAGCAAACTGGAGTCACCAACATAAATTTGGTCTGAACAGCAGCATCCTCAGGGATTTCCAAGGTTGTTTTATGTGCTTTTGCTGGTAGGATAAACTTTTAAAGTCTCTTCACTATTGGTTTGATGTCAAAGCTGAAGAACTGACTAAAACTGCAATATCCAGAAGGGAGAAGTGTGTAGGGCTTAAAATAACTGAAATGGCACCTTGGTTTTCTTCCAGGCTTAGTACAGATGTCTTCCCACCAGCAGAAACAGCAGCAGCAAATACCTTCAAAATGCCAGGAAAAGTGTCCTCCAAAGTGTGTGGAGCAATGCCAGCCCCCAAAAGGGCAAGCTAAGTGTCCCGTGAAGAGCATCCCGCAGCAACAACAGCAGCAGCAGTGCCCAAAGCAGAAGTAGCACTAACAGCAATGGCCACAAACTACGACGGAAGATGCAAATGCTTACTTCCAAGCTCTCCTCCTGCCTGCTGGCTCTGCCAGAATAGCTAGAAATTTGCAGTGTGCCTCTTCTGTTTGCAAGCAGAAATTAGTTTACAAAGAGATGTAATTCATTAACTTGGATTTTCTCATCCTCTACTATTAAAAAAATGTGGGGCCATTTTCTTCTGATATTTAACTTGGAACATGCTACAATAAAATTATAAGTAACCTCATTACTTGCTCCTGATATTTATTTTCACTTTACTAGTGTCATTCATTCTATTGTTTTTGTTTTATTAGCCAAAGAATTACTTTTAAACATACACTTGTATATAAGGCACACTTACACAGGGACCCACGCACATTTGCCTTCCGGATTTCCCAAGGAATTATTTGTCTGTATCTTATTTCAGATAGATCCAGAAACCTCCAGCTATTATTAACCAGGTAGACCAGAAATGTCCAGAGCAAACAGGACACAGAAGGATCACAATTTCTTGAAAGACCATTTAAATTCAGGGTCCTTTAGGCAGAGCTGCTGCCTTGGTGCCAAAACTGGCTCAGTATCAATGTGCTTCCCCTCTCAGGGGCAATCCTACGAGTTGTTTTCATCCTAAACTGCGGAAACTCAGTTTTCTGCAAGATAGAATATTCTGAAGTATATTCTTCTGGGTCTATCAAAACAATTAACCATGGTTTTAGAGTTTAAACTGTACTATAACTGCTAGGAGGAAAACAGTTTTTGGAAGCCTTTAACACTGAGAGGAAGCTTTTGCTTGCTCAGAACAAACAGTTTCTCTTTTAAAAGAAACAGAAAGAGGATTCAGAATGTTTTGGTTTCTCAGCAGGACATCCTGGCTCAGCTAATTGATTTTCCAGTCAGCTGTATGGCAGAGTAGAGGAGGAAAACTAGAAATACAGAAACTGTTGAGTGATATGGTGTTGGTGCCTGGCAGATAGTCATAAGCTTGCTCTGCAAACCAGAAGCTGCGTGTCTCGGTGTGATTCTGTGATCAGACGATGAGGTTGGATGTATCTAACACCCATCTAACACGTACAGGGCCAAACTAGTGAGATTACATCGCTCCTGGCTCCTCTGAAGTGTGGGAAAAACTTGTTTGCTTGTGCTTGCAACCTGCCTTGTAGATGCGCCCATGCCTGGTGTTTGCCGAAGGTCGCAGAGTGGCTGTGAATGTGCTCAAATGGGGACAGCGCGGTGTGAGCCCGTGCTGTGGGCCATGCTCTGGGATGGGGTGTCTTGCTCAGAGGTGTTTCAGTGCCATTGGCCAGCCCATGGGCTGACAGCGGGGGGACTCTTGCCAGTTCTCCAGCCTGGGCACCTGCAGAGGAGCAGTGGAGCCAGGGTGCCCTGCGAGCCCCCGAGTTTCTGGGTCCTGATTTGCCCAGCTGTGAGCCTAAAAAATGACTGCCTGTTGCAAGCTGAGGCTCCTTTTCATCTTTTTAAGCAGAAGGTATTAAAAATCTCCACAACTTGGTATTCAAAGTAATTTTTATTGTTGGTTTTCACAGTGAAATAAATCCCAGATACAATTATCAGCCTAAAATAATTAGAGATAAGTACCAAATACATACGCAACAACACCGTGTGGTGAAACATGTTCCAGGGTGTAATTGAGACAGCACTGTGTATGCTTCCTCCTTTATCCTGTCTAACAGATGGAAGCCACGCCTGAGGTTAATCTATTTCAAAACATGTCTGGATTTGATTCAATTATCTATATATTTTCCATAAATAATCTCAGCTTGAGCTGTTCTTTTACACATCCTAGAAAATCCAAGGTGAGCTCTCTGAGGAAAGCACTGATTACTACCAATTCAGCTAAGCAGATAGTTGAGAGGTGATGGCTCTTTTGCAAAAATTTTTCTACTTCCTCTAACCCAATGGATTTTTTAAATTGCATAAGATATTCAGCACTATGGAGTCATGATTCAGAAAGTCTTATTGCCATTGAGCAGAGCCCCTTAGCAGCAGGTTCTGCACAAACCTCAAATCCTATTATTGATAGGCAAAACCCCTAAATGCAAGGTGGGAGATGGCTTTTGAGTACAGGGAGCTGGGGAGGAAGGCATGAAAACCAGGAGGCAGCGCGCGCCTCTGGACAATGAGCTCTAGGTCCCTAACTGCATTTGGGTTAAGTTTGAATATTTAGCTTAATGAACCCTGACTCTTGCGTGCCATCATGCTCTTTGGTCTCTCTCTGGGCCTATAAAAGCCAGGGGGATGATTGGGAGAGGGCAGAAGTTCAGGCCACTGGAAAGCTGAACGCACCTGCCTACAACACCGCTTGAAGCCTCACTATCTATTGACAGTCCTGGTGTGTCAGTTAGCGTACGGCTGTTAGTACGGGATAACGGTAGTGTTAGTTGCAGGGGGAGCTGGAAGCTGTGCTTAACAGAAATTCTGCAGCGAATAAAAGGGTGTTGGAAAGTGACCTCTGGTTGTGAGGCACGGGGAGAGGAGGTCTGGGTTTGCAATCATCTTCTCTCTTCAGGGCTTCCCTTGTCAGCTGCAAGTTACTTCTGCATGGGTGGCCACTGGTTAGGCTGCTTCACCTGCTGCTGCTCGATGGGAGGACACTTCTCCGGAAGGGAGCACTTCCCTGGCTCAGGGCACGGAACAGGGATTGGCACAGGGGTCTCCTTGCACTCCTGCTCCTCCTGCGGACATGGTGCAGGTTCAGGACATGGAACAGGGATTGGCACAGGGATCTCCTTGCACTCCTGCTTCTCCTGAGGACACGGTGCAGGTTCAGGGCATGGAACAGGGATCGGCACAGGGATCTCCTTGCACTGCTGCTTTTCTTGGGCACATGGTGTGGGTTCAGGGCATGGAACAGGGATCGGCACAGGGGTCTCCTTGCACTGCTGCTTTTCTTGGGCACATGGTGTGGGTTCAGGGCACGGAACAGGGATTGGCACGGGGATCTCCTTGCACTCCTGCTTCTCTGGAGGGCACGGGGTGAGCACAGGGATCTCCTTGCATTCCTGATTCTCCTGTTTTTTGGACATGGTACAGGTTCAGGGCATGGAACAGGGATTGGCACAGGGATGTCCTTGCATTGCTGCTTCTCTTGCGGACATGCTGCAGCTTCCGAGCAGGTAACAGGAAGTGGCACAGGGATCTCCTTGCACTTCTGCTTCTCCAGCACACATGGAGTTGGTTCAGAGCAGGAAACAGGGGCTGGCACAGGCAGCTCTTTGCACACTGATTTCTCTTCAGGGCATGGAACAGGCTCAGGGCATGATACAGGCGGGAAAGTTGGTGGTAGCTTGCATTGCTGTTGCTGCTGCTGCTCCTGGGGTGGACACTTGGGTATCACGACCACTGGTGTTTCTCCCTTGCCTGGTTCCACCACTGGTGTTGGCAATGGCACTGTTTTTTCTGGGCATGGTACCACTACTACTGGGACTGGTTCTGGGCAAGGTGTTGGGACTTGGACTTCAGGTTGCTGCTGTGGACATTGGACCGGCTCAGTGCACTGCACAGGCTCTTGGCTTTGCTTTGAAGTCGTTTTGCTCAGGCCAGGTGGGAGGGTGATTTCCTGCTTGATTTGCATTTGATTCAAAGACATCTTTGCAGGAAACAAGGTTGTCTGAAAGAAATGTCAGAATGTTATTGTTTCTGCTAAGTGAACTGCATTGGGATAAAGGTGAAACGATTATAAGAAACATGAATCAGCTGCCAGAGTAAAGTTCTCTTAGTTTGAGTAAAGTTCTCTTAGTTTGTCCTTGGTTTCCCAAGGCAGTGTGGCTCAGAAAGAATTATGATTTGCTCTTTCTTTTTCATCCTGCTTTTCAGCTCCTGCTCTGACCCTGTCTTATCTTGTTCTTCCTTTCTGTTCTGCAGTGTGGGACAGCCCTGTCAGGTCTAACTGAGGTAGAGCCACACCTTTGAACTTGGAGCTGATTTACACTTCAGAGCTCTTCCTCCTGTTGCTTGGCTCTTCCAAACAGGTTAACTTCCTTTCATTTCTGTCCTGGGGAATTGATGAGAGGAGCTGGCAAATAACAGAACTGCTGGTTTGATAGCAGTTTCAGAAAGTCAAAATAATAATAATAATAA